ATTCTATTCTATTCTATTCTATTCTATTCTATTCTATTCTATTCTATTCTATTCTATTCTAATTGGGTTCATGTGTCTATTCAGATGTTACAATTTCAGGCCATGTTCAGTGAGCACCCATATTCAGAAAAGTTGGGAGCCAAGAATTTAAATCCTGGAGCAGGAACACATGCATTTCAATTTCTCTGTTTACCAGTGGGCACATCTTCTATCTGTGCATACGTAACTACTATCTGGTCTGCAATAAAGCAACTTGTCTAGCCATGCCATATCTGCAAGTTTCTGCTGCAAGCAAATTCCTGAATATGAGATTTAGTGTTGGGAGAGATTTATTACTGAGGCAAGCATGAAGTCTGCCAATTTCAGTCTAAATAGAAATTTAAATCCAGATTTCTAGGGCTGTAATCCAAAATTCTATCACTGACATACTGGACATACTCCTGCAATTCTGGGTCTTGCAACAATAAGCTTCTGCCTTATGCAGATTAAGCACCACTGGGATATTGCATCTGCACTATATTACAGAATTGTTAGTTTTGGACATATTTCAAAATGCAAACTGGGTTTCATTTCCTTTTTCAGGATTGTTTTCCCTTTCTAAAGTATTCTGTAAAATATCTTCTTCACATTAAAAGGAACACTGATACCAAGTTTAATATTTATCATTATTTCATACCAAACAATTTGAATTGTGATGCTAAAATTCTAACCACTGGAATGGTAATGATTTACAAAGAACTTTCAGCAGTGTATAATTGATCTGGTATCAAATTCACCATAACAAGATGCTATGTGGCCAAAGTATCTCTCCTGCCACGAAGATCCTTATTCATTGACAATCTTGTATTTAATTAACTGTAATTCTATGCCCATTCCCATAGGCTTGATTCCCATGAAAAAACAATGAGGCATCATATCTGAATTACGCAGTTGTTTATCAGTAATTTTCAAACAGGGAAAACCCTCAAAGAAAAGCACAAACTGAACCTAAAATCCAGACCTGAAATGATGCCAAAATCTAAAATTAGATTATTAAAAAAATTCTACTGGTTTTGTTGAGGATCCAGGCTTAGAATGATTGACTTCGGGAGGCTCATAGATAAAGCAGAATCTGAAAAAGTGCCATACTCATATTCATGCCTGAAGGGGCACACATGGCAAGAGATAAGAATCTTGATATACTAATGAGACAAAAAAAACCAGGAGAAATAGATAGTTTAACAATCCTTGAAAAGCACCCAAGAGCCAAGGAACAAGCAATCAGAACCCCTCTCCTAATTGTCCAGGGGCCTGAGCCTCTTGCTCAAAGACAAACAAAAATGGCTATTGTCGCTTAGCAAAGGAGAGAAGGAGAGGCTCAACCACTGACTGGCATGTTGCCCGTCTTCCTGGATGCAAGGCTTCATTCGGGAAGGAGAAACTAAGCTGAGCAGAGTGTCAGTGTATAGAGAAGGAGAAACTGACAGCACTAAACACCACAA